TTCCTGAATTCTTCCAATTTTTTGTCCGTATTTTCCATGAATTTGTCTATTTTTTCCTCATGTTTGTCAGTTTTTTGCCTCAGTTCTTGGAGAATTCTAAGTATTAGAGATTTGAATTCCCTATCAGGTAGTTCCAGTGCATTTTCTTCCACTGGAAAGTCATCTGGTGTTTTATTTTGGACACCTACTGGAACCATCCTGTCCTGGTTTTGTAAATGTTTTGATATTGTCTGCTGTCTTCGGGGCATTCAGTAGTTATTTTTCTCCTTTATTGACTGTAGATTTGTTTCGTCCTTTTAAAAAAAATTTGACTATGAGCAGGCGGACTGTGTGTTCTTTGTTGTTTGCTCGTCTGTGGGCACAATACTTTTTGGCTCCTTCTCCAACTGGCAGGGTCAGTCACTCAGATATGGTACAACATGGCAGGTCTAGCTGAAGAGGAGTTACTGGGACGGGTTGTTTGTGGCGCTTACTATAGCCACCAGAGAGGGGCGGTAATCAGTGCAGGGCAGGTTCCAGTAGGCCGTGCCTGTGCTGCTTGGTGGTGTGATGTCAAGCGCACGGTGCAGGTAGGCAGAATGCAGCAGGGAGATTGTTATGTGTGGAGCTAAGATGGATATGGGAGAGAGGAGAGAAGAACAGGAACCAAAAACATACAAACAAACAAAAAAGAATGCTGGGGGAGCTTGCCGTTGGAGTGGAGAGATGAGAGACTATGAAATAAGAAAAACAGAAAGGGGAAGAGGAAGAAAAGAATGAATAAATAAAAAACCAGAAAGGCTAAAGAACCGCAAAGTTCCCAGGGATCCCACCAGTGCAGCTATGAGGTCTGGGGAAGTCGCTCTCAGGTGTTGCAGTACAGCCTGGCTAGAAGGCATAGAGGTATACACCACCAGGTATTCAGGGAACAGAAAGAGAAGGAAGATATAGAGAGACGAGAAACTGAGCAATATAGAAAGACAAAAAGGGAAAAAGAGGGAAAACAAAACAAAACAAATCTGAAAAAAAGAACAAGAAAGGCCCCCAAAAAAAACAGAAAAAAAAAAAAACCAACAAAAAAAGAAATGTCCTCAGGGATCCCTCTGCACATCTGTGGAAGCCGAGGGAGAGTCTCCTTGCACGCAGCTCCACCTGGCCAGAAAGGGCTCCCAACGCAAGAAAAGGAAAAGAAAACAAAGAAACAATTCAAAACAAACAAACGAACAAAAGCCC